AATACCCACGGGGATATAATTGAATTTGTTGAGTAAAACGATGCAGCAAATAATAACGAGGGCAAATTAATGTGATTATAATAGTGTTTGAAGTAATAAATTACCTAATTTTAAGAGTATAAATTATACTCAAGCTAAGTCTCTTGAATACTACAGTAAGCTCAGCAATGTAACGTAAATTATAGACATCATATTCCAGGAAAAATAAGCTATTTATCTCATTTTATGGACATGGTAGATTCATACTTCATATCCTCACAGAGTTGAAGTTCTCTATTGGCTATTTCTTGTTTTCTAACATTTTATTGCTATCAGTATAGATAAATTTTGTTCTTTACTTTTGTTACTTTTTAGTTTTGCTAATGATTAGTTCTATTTAGTGTGCAAATTATATTAACAATTTAATTGTAATTATTGTTTAATTCTCTCTCTGGCATACACATTTCTGTACATCCATTTTTACAAACTTAATGATACATTTAATTGGAGCTAGATGATAAATAATAGAAAAAAAAAAGAGAAAAAGAGAAATAAACCAAAAAATAAGTGGTTAATTTAATATCACTATCACAACGAGTAAATATATTAACCTTTCACTTTTTAACATAAGATCTGTTCATTCAGAGTTTAACATATTTTCTGAAATGGTTGTTGAGGAGTCTTTTGATGTACTGAGATTATCCAAAATATTGAACCCTACTTTCTCTGACTCTGATATGCGTATTCCTAATTATAAAATAATTCGAAACGACCGCAATGGAAGAGGGAGGTGGTGTTGCTTTCTTTGTTAAAAATGTCTTTAAAGTAAATATTTTAGATACTCCACCTTTGAATAATGATGAAAACATTCTTGAATCTTTACCCAAACATATTTTCTTATTTGCGATTTTTAAAGATATCCATCTTTAAAAATCGCATATAAGAACATATGTCTGTGTACACTGTACAGACCACCTGATAGTAATTTTTAACAGTGTTTGGAACATTTGGAAAATATTTTATTTAACTTTATACCTGAATTTCATCTGGTTATTTTTGGTGGTGATTTTAATATTGATATATCTGATTATTACAATTATTATAATACACAGTTACAAAATTTGTTAAATAAATACAATCTTTATCAAATAATTTCGAAACCCACACAGATAACAGAAAGTTCTAGTAAAATCATTGATCACATATAGTTAGTTACATCTAGTAGTAGTGAGCTTATTGGTGGTACTAACGTTATAGGCATGGAAAATATCTGTGATCAATCCCTAGTTACTTCTACTCTTAAAATCGACAAAGAAAAATAATAACAAATTTTCCCCACGTATAGAGATTTTGCTAACTTCAACTATGACTCTTCTTGACAGACTTGAGATTAATTAACTGGAATTATATCTAGTCCCTTCAGAATGTTGATGAAATTATTGAATTTTGGAATGCTAATGTAATTTTTTTTGTACGATTTCCATGCCCTGTACAAAACAGTTAGGATTACAAAACCACCAGTTTCATGGCTAACAGACAACCTAATGATGAAAATAAAAAAAGAAAACACTGGTTAAATATAGGAAAGCAAAAACCGAGCTTTCTTTATGAATATAAAGAGATTAGAAATTTTGTACATTTTTCAATCAAACTGGGAAAAAATGTTTATTTTCTGCACAAATTTCAGACTAATCCTAAAGAATTTTGGAAAACTAAAGTATTTGAACGTTAGTAATATTAATAGTTCTGTTTCTTCTGACATATTTGAACCAAACACATAATGATTTTTTCATTAACAGCGTGCCGCAAGTAATAAATATTACAATAATCCCTATACAAACAAATATAATGGAACATATGCTCGATAACAACAAGTTCTCGTTTTTAGAAGTTTCACCCAAAAAAGTTGAAAAGGCTTCCATTACATAAAATCAAATGCGATGGGATTTTATAATGTTGACCGTAAAATATTAGACTTATTACTTCCAGAGCTTAATGAAGTGTTAACTTTTCTAATTAATTTAGTGTCTTTTGACCTGTGTATTTCCCAGTACTAGGAAATATGCTAATATATGACCAATTCCCAAAAACACCAAACCTACGACTCTAACTCATTTTAGGCCTATCAGCATTTTGCCTATAGTATCTAAAATTTTAGAAAAAATAGTTGCTAACCAGATTAATAAGTTTTTATCAACAACAAAAATTTTACCACCAACTCAATCAGGGTATAAATCTCACCACAGCACTACAACTGCTCTGCTTCATGTTACCGATGAAATATGTAAAGTTACTGATCAAAACACGTGCTTAATTTTGCTTGATTTTAGTAAAGCATTCGAGACATTGGACCTTGACGTTCTTTGAAGTAAGCTCAAACATTTCGGAGTTAGCGATTCTCCAGATTAATTTTTTTTATAATTACTTACGAGAAAGATATCAAAGAGTTTGGTTGAGATCTATTTTTTCTAATTTTAAGCCATTACTCAAGGAGTGCGACTATCTTAGAACCTTTGCTATTTTCTATATATAATGCAGATTTTAATTCTTCTCTTAATTTCTGTAATATTCACCAATATGCAGACGATACTCAACTTTATTTTTCCTTTCGGATGGATAGACTTAGAGATTCTGTGGAAAAAATTAACTCTGATTTAAGAAGAGTTGCTGAAATATCTCAAGATCATAACTTAGTACTGAATGAATCTAAAACTGTTATTTTGCTCTTTGGACCACATAGGTAAGATGTAATAAATTTTCCTAATTTTCAAATTAAGCCAACAATGAAGTTTTAAACACTAGTGTATCTTCTAAAGATCTTTTATAAATGTGGACTTAAGGTTCTCCAAACATGTTGCCATATAGTACAAAAAATCCTGTGCAAAATTAGAATTAAGCTATATAGAGCCTATCTAGGCGTGGATGTGAAACTAAAATTATGCGAATCTGTAATTCTTTCTTATATTACTTACTGCGACGTAATTTATTGACATGCCTTAACAAATAGGGACAAGAAAAGCTTAAAAAGATACAAAATGCTTGTGTAAGATTCTGTTTTGATCTCCGTAAATTCGTTCACATATTATCCAGTAAATTTTTAGAAACTAAATAGTTAAATCTAAATAAAAGATTTCTATGTATAAATCCCAACTTCCTGAATATTTATTTAAAAAGCTAGTAACTAGTGATGCACACATCAATGTTCCACTCACTACTGTAATTTATACATAGTGCCCAAACACAGAACTGCTATATTTGAAAGAGGATTCTCTTACAATGCAGTCAGTATATTTAATACCTCAGAATATCAAAAATTCCCAACAAGTTGTTACTTTCAGAAGACATGTCAAAGACTTAATATTATCTGGTAGAGTGCTTAGTAATATTACGTAATTTTTATTATTATTTTTTTTATCAGCTTTTCTTCTATTATTGTACATTATAGTTTTATATTAATTTCTTTTTTTCTCTCTTAACTGTTTTGTTTATCAAAATATGTATTACGCTTGATCATACATATATTATTGAAATATTAACTCTATGGCTATGATGGCTGGGAAGTTTCTCATAAAATTTTTTGGAATTTCAATATTTAGCTGTAGATGACTGAGTTCAAATCTAGAATAAATGTCTTTTTTAATAAGAAGAATGCAACAATAATAAATTTGTAAGACATGAAAATACAATTTTCAATTATTTGGTAGATACGTATGAAACATAGAAGTACTGTAGTTGTGGAATATAATTTTAATAATCTAAGAGTAATGCAACAGAAACAAGTGTTTTATAAAAATTGTTCAAATTGGTTTTCACAAATTTTGACGCACGTATAACAACGACCTTGTAGTTGGCGACTTAATACCAGATGGACATTTTCTTTGGACCAATGGCGAGTATTACGCCGATTGAAAATGCCACTACTGCTAATATGGTATTCGTTGGACCACTGATCTTGCAAAATTTGGATTATCACAGCACACATTCAAATACCATTCGCAAAAATTTGATCTTCTTTCAGTATCAACAGGATGCAGGTCATACTAAATTTTTATTTAGTAAGTAGGGTGTTTATGTTTTTTTACATTTTTTGACCTTTCGACTTAGGAACACCGAGTTCAAGCGTATTTCTCTTAACGCGGTTGTGGGGTTTTGTTCGACGTGTTCTAAAACATTCCTGGTATCGCCGTCATCATCTTTCTCGTGCGTCCTTGTTCTAACTTTTTCAAATGCTCCAGTTTTGGAAATTGTATTTGAGTCTTCTGAAAATTGTTCAACTGACGACAGTTGGGATACCTAAACAAAATATTAATCAATTCTTAAGTAACAATTTTTATAATATTACTTAACTACTACCTATACTTATATTTCTTAAAATTATTATGCAACATATAAATTTATTACCTACAATAGCATTACTTGTCTGTTCTGATACAGCTCAGTTGCTTTATCTATATTTTTTCTGCATTCTATAAATGCAGTTAGCATGTCACATCTTTCAGTATTCTCAAATTTGGGCATTTTTATCAGTCAAATAAACACATCACCACGTACATAAGTTATCATAGTGACAATAATGCTATTTATTTTTCCGCGCCACCTTGTTTTTTTTTTATAAAAATCACTTATGTAATTGTCAAGACAATAGGAACCCATAACTTATGTCATATCTTAGAAAAGCATAAAATATAAGCTTTTTTGAAATCATGATCAACTATTTTTCATTGAAAACAAATACTAGTGTCTCTTGTGGAGAAAAATGTAGTTGGCTGGGACTATTTTTCTCTCTAAAATCCAATTTTACATTAAATTTTGCTCAAAATTTTTTTTACCGCATCTAAAAATGAAAAAAAATATATAAAAATCAATTTTGAGAGCGCGAAAATAGGAAGAGTTATCGTGATGGGGCCTTTATAAATAGAACTACCTCAAAAAACGAGGTAAAGAATGTGCAATCCATTTCGCTCTATCTGTTTCAGAAGTAGTCAAAACACTCTGATCATAAACAATTTGGGACACACTGTGGCTTCGTGATAGAGCGGTAAGAATATTTGCCTCTCACTCAGGAGTCCCGGGTTCGATCCTCGGTCGGGGAGCTTGGATTTACTCTAGACCAAAAATGAATCCTAGCTAAGTCAGACATTGGATGTGTCCATTATCTTTAAAATGTGTAGCCCTCTCCCATACAATGTACCTCAAAGTACGTTCAGGGATACAGGAGGTTGTATTACCTGTGGTTTTAATTTAAATTTAATTTATACAGCCATATACACACTGAAGACTTTCTATTTAGCAGATGAAGCAAATGCATTTATTGCCTATAAAACAAATACCATGATAAAATATGTATCATATTTTTGAATATATCCCCTTAATAAATCTAGTATATCCATTTTTTCTACTTTTGTTTTGAAGCATATATTTTTCTGATTTTGTGCAACCTTTTATCAATAATGAATTATGATGTTCGTGAACAAAAGCCTTCTCAAATTAATGTGTAGTCAAAACCAAAATGTGTATTAAAATTTCACAAAAGATAACAGCAAAGTAATTAACTAATTCAGAGCTCTTGTTCATTATAGGTATTGTTAGACTTAAATAAAACGCAATACTTGTAGAAGTTAATTGTCATCTATTTAGTTATTCTTTGGATTATTATTTTTATATCGATTTCAATACCATAATTTTTGTGCGTTAATGGTACAAAAACTTTTTTTGGAAGGATTGCCTGTTGACTTAAGTGTAATAAAAACTTCTTAATTTAATAATAATTTCATTTTATTACATAATATTCCATCTCTACTACTTTTATATAATAACAATTATGGTTAGTTTTGTCCGGTACATAATAGAAATATTCTTTAAGCAGCTGACACCTATCGGTATGCAGGAGAACTTCCTATATTCAGCAGTACAATGGGTTATCCTCCAGGTACCGTTCCCATTGATTATTATAATCAAATATTTTCGGGAAGACATAATGATATATTTTCGATACTATGATATACACACACAACTTTTTATACGTAGTTGCTGTCGGAAATCTCTAAATACCAATCGAGCAATCGAAATGTATTATCATGACAATAATTGGACTCGATTCCTTTTAAATTCATTATAATAATGACTAATAAGTAGGTAGAGAGGACATTATTTTTTCATAATGACATTTGTTATTGCCATAATTATTGTTTATTCCGGACACATTCTGAATTTAAATTACCTGATTAAATTTGTAATTCAACAAAAGGTTGATGATTTGATTTAAAAATTTTTGTAGATGTGGGTTTAACGTGCAATTTTAATAATTTTATCTGTGGCAAAAAATTACATTTGCATGATATCTCCATTGGAATTTTGCGAATTTTGATTATGTTGAATACTCGCTCAATTATATATACATTAATGTAAATAGATTCTATTTTAATGACACCCATGATTTTATTACTAAAGATGTGATTTTCAGAATAACATTCGATTTACAGATAATTTATTTATGGTAATAGGAACAAAAATGTAAATAACGATTATACTATTAATAGCTAACTTTTTTGTAAAAAGGATATACCACACTTGGGGTTATTCTGGTACACCTTGAGGTATGTATTATATATGTACAATATGGAAAAGAAAAGTATCACAAAATGATTATAACTTTTATATTTTCCTGGCCTTCAATTAACATTATTACATGTATTGAAACAAATTTATAAATGTAATAAAAAACAGTATTTGACAAATTTGTATTCTGCTTATATCAAAATATATTGAAAGGTTCTCATATTGCCAAAAATGCATTAATCCACTCCCTTAAGAGGGCTAATCGAACCAGTGTTTGTAAGGTAATTTTTCAAAATTTATTTCTTCCATACGGTTTGGTCAAATTACACCAAATTTGGAGGATCAGTAGTTGAAAGTGTACTAGAGGGTACATGTATATCTATTTTAATTAATTTTCACTTTATGTAGGGAAAATTTATACTGTAAATATAAGTGAAATTTGAACGTGATTAGCTCCTGAATTATGATATCAATCGGTATAATTCGAGGTAAAATTCATACATGTTTTCTAGAATGAATCTTCATAATTATGCTCGGCAAGTTTCAAACTTTTATTCCGTACTATTTGGTTAAAATGAATTTTCTAAATAAGTATCTTTGTTACTACAAATGGAGCAAGGAAGTGTTACCTCTATCGGGAATCGCACCTCAATGAAGTCGGTGAATAAAACATCCAGTGAAGGTATAGTCAAGAGCAAAATTATTCAGCGCCGCATGTATAAATACTTTTTAGAGAGTGACACAGCTATCCGAAGCTTTTTTCCCGACTAGGCCCCTTAATTGTCAAACATTTCAATAATACTGAAAACGTCTCATATCATACATTTTCAATTTTGACGTCCTTCTTCCCAGATAACTGGATAAATTCCGAGATTCTCCCATTTTCAAGATAAGTGGTAATATGATATGTCAATTACTATAATTTGCAACTTTAGCAAGATATTTGAAATTATTCTGCATTTCGTAATCTGTGATCATACATCGAGCCTGATATAACTTGACCAACAAGGTTTTATGAAAAGTAGATCCACGACAACGAGAAAAAATCATCAATAACTTCGAAACAGACTATTTAAACGTCAAAACATCCCATTACATCTATAATTGTTCTAATAATAATATAACAATCAACTTTGTTAATGAAGTAAAGAAATAGGCGTTTTTTTAGTAAAACGATTATGTTATTTTGTTCCGTCATCTGAGAAGCAATGTTCCTAACTTATTCAAAAGTGTCTGAATTTTCCTCACTCACACGATAATTGCCACTTTCGACACTACATGAAAATAACTATATTTCAAATTTAATTTATGCGCTATTTCATTAATTTTCAGCCTACTATATGAAATAAATAGTTTCATTTATGTTGTGATTTCTCGTAAGTTCAAACTTCTTATTCATAGACATATTTACCCATCCAATCTCCATTCAGTTTAACAACAGTTGCAAAATGTTCATTTAGTATGTAAAGTAGCCGTCGTTCGAAAGAATGCTTTAAAATTAGCAGTCTAAGTTATTGTAGTCTTCAAATAGGACGAACAATACGCCCGCGGGCGTATTTTGACCGCCGATAGGCGTTTAGGGGTGTCGAAAGGCGGCAGAATTTCTGATGGTTTATCAACTTGACGTAATAATATAGGTTTTACATGTGTGCCAATAGTACTAACGTCCTGTGTAATTTATCACACACACATATGTTTTGTGTGGCAATGAATGGTTGTAGACTGAATAACTATGGAACATTACTTCAGAGAAAAGAAAAGTGGACGTAATTTATTAAATTTATAAATATTTAAAAAAAATTTCTTGTCAGTAATAATACATTAAGATAACAATTATATTCAAAATTGTCTAGATAGTTGGCATAAAAACGAAAAGAATTATTCTGTTTAGAATTTTTACAATTTAAATTTAGGCTTAAATTATACACAGTTTTATAGTCTAATGCACATAGCAACGTAGATGTAACATAATAGAAGCCTAAATTATTATTAATTCAAATTACTATTAAAAATTGTATCATTAATAGCATGGTAGATTGCCGAACTTTATTTATATAATTCATTGAAAACTAAACTATGCAACATTATAAAAGTTGTGGTGAAAAATTTTGTTCAATTTTAAAACGAAAAAAACATTCGATTGGCATGAACGATATCAAGTCTGTTTTCAGTGTTTTTTGGCTGGATCTTTCAGTAATTTACCTTAATGACAAGAATCCCAAGAAACCACAAATAAAGGTTCTACATGGTGATATATAAGACAGTGCAAAATTGCTATGACTTCAACGTTACTCCGTTTTTCCATTTTTTTTTATCAGCTCCGGTGCCAGAATCATGAAGTTTGGTGTTTTAGCTCGGTAGTTTTTTGAATTTTTCGGATCTGAAGTATAATAGCCACGATATGAATTTTTATTTGGAATGATGCATTCAAGTTATATCGTCTAAAAAAATCGCACTTATGATGTTAACGAGATGCCTACAATTATTCTCACAAATACGGTCAATGGAGAAGTATCACGGTAAAACAATAATACTCAAAATGCTAACAATAACAATACAATAACAGTGAGGTAGAAAGCCCAACTAAACGATGCTTGATAATTATTCTTCAGTACTTGGTAGGGTCTTCTTTTGCTTGGTCTAGAGCCGCAACCCATCTGGTCATTCCTTCCACCAATTTTCTGAGGAAGTTCTGAAGAATAGGTTTCCATTCTTCCTGAATTGTAGTCGCCAATTCATTTAACCTTTCCATTTGTCCTTCCCTGTATTTCATTTTTCTTTTCAATCTACTCCAAAATGCTCAATTGAATTCATATCTGGAGACAAGGGTAGTCAATCCATTATTTTCTCAATACTATGATCCCCCAAAATTCATTGAGGATGCGAGCTCGATGTGGTCGAGTGTTATCATTAACTAAAATGAAATTGTCACCGACATTTTGCGAGTCCTGGGACCACAATATCTCTAATGCACAAATCCCTATATCCTTCATCAATCATGATCTCTCTTCTCAGTATCACCAATTTACTCTCCCCAGTCATTGTTATCCCTCACCAAACGGTCACTCCTCTACCTCAAAAAGTCACTCTTGGCTCCATGTGCTGTTCAATATATCTTTCATTTCTCTCTCACCGTACCAAAATACGTCCATCTGACCTAAACAAATTGAACTTATTTTCAATGAGCTATTCGGACTATTCCCCAGTTTTGGTGTGCTTGTGCCCATTGCAGGCAAGTAACCGGATGTTGTGGCACACGGTTAGTCTCCTACCCCGAAGTCCAACTTCGTGCAGTCTTCTTTGAATTGTCTGGTTTGACAGCTGGATTGCTCTTCTTATGTAGCTATATTAACTGGCCGTAGTTTGTCGCCTCTGTTTTCCCCTATGACAGTAGTTGATGTCTCCTACTACCAAACGGTGAATTGTTCGGTCGATTGACCTGGTGGTAGTCCCTAAAAAAATTTGCTATTTCGGGAGTTGTGTTACAACACAATTTATTGCAAAGTGACATGTCGTTAACATGAAAAGTGCGACATTC